GAGAACCCCAGTTTGCAGAAAACAGGTTGGTCCAGTCTAAAGGCCTTTAGAGGAAGACAGAGCCCCACTGCCCTCAGTTACTTGCCTAACACTGGTCAACTGTAATATCCAAGTTACCCTTAAAAATAATCTGTGCACCACTGTGCACCTCCTTTGCTTTGGTTTAAATTCACCTTTCCCTGCTGTGGCTGCAGCAGAGAGAGAGTGGCTGATGTGCTGTCGCTACTACCTCCTACATAAAGTAGTGTCCTCTTAATGCTAACATCTGTGGAGTGCTTATGCAGCATCAGGGGCTGTGCTAAGTGCTTTACAAGAGCTGTTAGATGGTCTCATCCTCACATCAGCTCTGGGAGAGAAGTACTACTGTTGTCCCCATTTCATTGATGGGGAAACTGAGGCTTTGAGATTTTAAGTAACTTGTTCAAGGTCTCACAATTAGGAAGTGGTAAAACTGGGATCTGGACCCAGATATATAACTTCTATCCTCATACTCTTGGCCAAGACCCTTTTAGCGCCCAAGAGTACCCTCCTTCCTACCCTCCTAAATCCTACTGTAAGTTCTCCTCTATCCCATCCAAGTATCGCAGAATGTTAACACTTATGACACTTCGTTGTTCCCCTAGACCACACTCTTATAACTAAATTTCTTGAATTCCTTTGAATTCTTCAATAAGGAAGAAAACAGAGGCCTAGAAAGGCAAAGTGATTTGCCCAAGGTCACTCAGCAAGTAAGGGCTTTCCCTGAATGCTCCCCCATTTTCTTTTTTTTTTTTCTCTTTCTCTCTCTCTCTCTCTTTTTTATGAGAAAGATCAGCCCTGAGCTAACATCCATGCCAATCCTCCTCTTTTTGCTGAGGAAGACTGGTCCTGAGCTAACATTCGTGCCCATCCTCCTCCACTTTATATGGGATGCCGCCACAGCATGGCCTGACAAGCGGTGCGTCGGTGTGCGCCTGGGATCCGAACCCCGGCTGCCAGCAGCGGAGCGCGGGCACTTAACAGCTACGCCACGGGGCCGGCCCCAGTGCTCCCCCATTTTCATTTGGTGATGGGAGTCTTCCAGGCTTGGGCCATTCCAAGACCACCTTTTCTGGGTTGTGAATTCCTTCATCTTCTGCCAATCCCACTTCACCCCATTGTCAGGCTTTCTATCTGGCCCCATCCCCAGGAGACGGGGGCTCCACAGGCTCCTCTTTCTCACATAATTTCCATATTTCCCTCCTGCCTCGGCTTTGCCTCAGATCCACATCTCACAGATGCAGTAGTTTCCTTGGGTGGGTGTCCAGCAGACCTGAAACCCCAGGATTCTGCGGTAAGGATTTCCCTTGGTGTCCACCTACCCAACCCCTGGACCTGCATCCTTGGTAGAAGACTCCTCGAGGTTCCCTTAACACTGTGCACCTCCTTCTATTAAGTTGGACTGCCCAGCACCCTGGTCTATGATTGCTGATGTCTGTGCATATCCTCCACATTATGAAATCCTTGAGGCCGGGGTCTTGTCCATGGCTCTACCCTCAGTGCTTAGCATGGTGCTGGGCAGTGCCTTGCCCACAGTTTATGCTGAGTGAGTAAATAAATAAACGCATGAATGAGTGAATAAAAAAGTGAATGATCATCGGGTCTGTTCACCACTGCCCTGTGATTTTGCTCGGAGCCACTGACTGTGATTATATATAATCACATGATATGTATTATAACACTACATATGATCACATTATACATATCATTACATGTTGCATATGTTATATGTGATGTGTTTGGTTCAGGTGGAAAATAAAATGGGGGAGGAGAGGGAAGGGAAGAAGGATCAGATGTCTGGCAAGGAGGAGATGGACCAACAGCCAGGGATTCCACATTTACTGTGGGCAGATTCCTCACTGAAGAATCCGACTTCATTGGTGGGTCCTTTCTCTCTAAGGTCATAGCAGGCAGATGGTTATTCCAACCTCTGCAGGGCTTTGGCGCTCCAAGCTCTCACCCTTAGCCTGATACACGGGTGCACCTGTTCCTGACATGGCTCCTCACTGTAACCAAGGTCCCCATTTAAGAGGGAGGGGACACAAGGGGTAGGTTCTTCTCTTCAGGGGTGCTATTTGTGAAAAAGGGAGGCAACTCTGCTGGTGTATGAATAGAGGTGACTGTCCTGACTGTGTTTTTAGTCACTGGGAGGGAGCCATGGTGGTTTCTTCAGATGGCTGTTCAAACACAAAACAAAACAAAGCAAAACAGAGGCTTATTCACACCCACTCAGACCAGCACTCCTTTCCCATCCCCAGGACAGGGAGAGTCTATGTCCTCACATCCCGCTGATGACTTTGGAGCTTTTCTCCCTCTAGAGAGCAGTCAAGGCCATTGCGACTTGATTTTGCCCTCCCCCATCACTGGGAGGTGGTGGGTGTTGTTCCATCTGATACACCGAGTGACTGTTCTGAGTTCTCTTCCTCTAGCTCTGAAGGATCAGAGTCCTCTGTGCCCACTAGACTGTGGCAAGGAGACTTCCTCTGTGGTCTTGAGAAAGTATTTTCCCTCTCTTTAGTATTCTTTCCTTTAAAATGAGGAGTTTGGACCACTTCTAGAATTGAGTAGAGTTTTCAGTTTACTTAACTTCTCTGTGCCTCAGTTTCTTACCAGTAAAATAGGATAATAACAGGATCTACCTTGAGAGTTGAGACAGCATATGTAAAGCCAGAAGAGCTCAGTAAATAAGAGGTATTATTGTTAATTATCTTTTCATTCATTTATACAAATATTGGGTGAGCACCTTCCATGTGCCAGATGTTAATGATAGATGCTGGGGGTCCTTGAGGAAGGAATCACACAACACGTGGGGGAGACATAATCTTATAACTTGAGCTTGAAATCACATGTAGACTCTTGGGAGCTGAGGACAGGGCCTGCACAGTGCCAAGCATACAGCAAGTATTGAATAGATGCTTGCTGAATGCATGCTTGAGTGAAAGAGTACATCATCTATGAATGAATGAACAGTGCAGGCACAGCCCAGGAAGACATGAAAGGAAACGCAGGTGCATCTCCTGAGGAGTCTGCCCCCCATCCTCTGAGCTGATTAAGGGAGGAAGTGCAGACAACAGCAAGCAGCTGATCCTGTGTGCCCTCCCTCCTCAGGCTGAGGAAATCTCCGTGGTTTTAAGCAATCCTGGCCAGTGCCTGGGGCACCTCTCCCATGTGCTCCCACAGCGCCCTCTGCTGCCTCTCAAAGCACGTTTCACTCCTGACCAAGTATCTCAGACACAAGCTTACAGGAACAAGGTACCTGGAGTAAACTGGTGCAGCTGGCTAGGCCTGAGCACAACGGCACCACCAGTAGGGTGACTTGTGCAACTGACATGGGGCCTGAGGGTTGGGGACACCAGGGAGTGGTGGGGACTGTGAGGAATGGGAGTGGTCCTAACTTGAAGGAACAGCTGGTACTCAGCCTCAGGTCATGGCGGGCACGTTTGAAAGTGGACCAGGTGCTGCTGGATCTCCTGAAGGTCTAGGAAATCTAGACCTAGAGTTTATGTGAAAACTCCCCCTTATAAATTTGTCAACTAATTTTAAAGGAAAATAGAAAACATTCACAATGAAGCCTGGTGAGTGTGGAGCAAAGCATGATGCAGGCCGATGGTGTGTAACCTCTGTATTCTGCCCCTGCTGTGGGCAGGGCCAGTGTCGGGGGTGACACAACTGGGGGCTGGGTCATGGGTGCCACTGTGGCTCCTGAAGTTTCAGGTCCTAGATGCCTCCTGTCTATGATGGGGAAGGGATAGGGTCAGAGCTGTGATCGCTGCTGCTGTTCCTGCAGCATCTGGTCTCCGGTGCCAGTGCGCTTTTTGAAACCTCAGTTTAGGGCACCACTGCCAGTGCTCAGGTATCTACGTTTTGCATCACCGCTGCTAGGGGAGAGGAGCTGTGTTGCCAGCACTGCTGTGTTTCCTGAAGCCTCAAGTCATGGGGACCACCCACCACCACCACTGAGGGAGCGGGAGAGGCTTTTACTCCCAGCAGGACAATATTTGGGTTTCTATCTGAACCTGTGCTCCCTATATCGCAATTCTTAGATTCTAAATAAATGCTTTACCTCTACAATTAGTTTCTGTTTTTGTAGGTTGTTAATGGAAACTCAGCTTGGGGGTTGGGTTCTGGTGAGAGGTGGCATCCACCTGCTGGCCTCCCCATTTGACCAGGACCTTGGACATTCCAGAGTAATGACAGGGAGGTCATTTTAGATAATTCACTGATCACCAGAGCATTCACCCCACACAGCTGCATTTGCGTACCCTATTCTTTGAGTTGAGTTCTATTAATGTATTGGCTTATCTGCCCATTCCTTTATTATTCAATGAAGTTGGGAGGTATGAGTGGAGAGAGAAAGAGCTTCCAAAATCTCTAAGGAGAAATTACAAATGTGGGGCTAGGGGGCTATTAGTGTACCTAATGTAGGACTCTTAACATCCACCTACAGTCACACCCCACAGACAATCAGTCTCTTTCTTTCCGTCTCTCTCCCTCTCACGCATACACACGCACACACAAGCACACACACTTCTATGTAGTTATCTGCCTAATTTCCCAAGAGTCACATCTAAGACATTTAGATGGAAAATAAAGTTTAGTTTGGAGACCTCTATGAGTTTTCCTTACATCACCCTGTTCCCATATCACCCATTTGGGAACCAGTAGGAAAATCATCAGCTACAGTGTTTTGGATCTTTGAGAATCCTTAAGTCCTGTAACAAATGACTCAGGACAGTAGGACTGGAAGAGACTCAGGAATAGTTTGAGGAGAATGTGGGGAGGAAACACACAGTGGGAAGCACTGAAGGTTCCCAGAGGTTGGGAGCAGGAGACAAGAGAAGCCTGTTTTTCTTCCTTTGGGGTTTCCAATCCTACCTCTACCCTCTAGGAACCTTATTCCACAAGAGAAAAGCTTGAGACCAAGAGAGGCCTGAGGTATCGACTACTTTATTGTTCCATTGGGACAAGTCCAGGGTCCAGCCCCAGCGGCCACCGCTCTGCTACCCCTGGTGGCTCTTTTTATGGGCTTCCAGGCCCACCTTGATCACCAGGATGAAGAACTCCTCGAAGTTAATGGCACCATCTCTATTGACGTCCAACTCTTTGAACCACGTGAGTGCATCCTTTTCCTGTCGAAGTTGAGAAGAAAGACCCAGAGTGTAAAGATCTGAGGGAGAGCTGAGACCTGGGTGTCTCTAGAGGGCAGCATGGGGGAGAAGTGACCCAGCACCTCATCAGAGCCAGGCAGAGAACCCCGACCGCACCAGCCCCTCCTCACCTTTGTGTAGTGAGGACACTCTGTCTCTAACAATCTTTTCAAGTCGTCCTTATAGACGGAATGGTAATTCCCTTTCTTCAGGGAGTACTTGTGGTAGACGTCAATGAGGGAGTCCATGGCATTCTCCAGGTCTGTCAGCATGGTGCCCAAAGATTTGTCCTAGCTGGAAGAGAAAGCAAAGGGGATTCTAGGGTGGGGATGGTGTCTGCCCACAGCAGGGTGAAGACTAAGGCGATACTCAGAAGGTTCCTACCCCAAGTCATGGCTTTGTCCCTGGCTTGCATCATCCAAATATCTAAACTCAGCAATGGCTACTGCTATGATGGGAAAGGCTGGGATGATATGGATAGTAGTGTGGGAGGAGGTAGGGTCACACACACACACACACACACACACATGAAATGCCTGCTAACTCTGCCTATGCCCTCACCCTCGGACCACAAAGGGCCCAGCTTGGGAAACGAATATGCCCTCACCCAAAAATGCTAGAGGACTTGGCTGCTTCTTTGTCCCTGTCTCACTCTCTTCCGCAGAGCTCTGGGTTTTGGTCCAGATCTCCCAGAGCTTTGTCTCCCGCTGTGAGACGTGGTTGCTACACTCCCTGACCCTCTCTAAAGGAAGGCCAAAGTGTGGGGCAGATAGGGACGATCCCACTTACCAGGTCTCCCCGAAACAGAGTTGACAGAGGATATGCAGGGCTGAGTGTCGGCTCCCTTTTATAGCAGCTGGGCTTGGCCCGCTGCCCGGGTCCTCAGGCTAGTCAGCGGCAGCTGCTCCATTCCAGAGTTGCTACACGTCTGGTTTCCAAACACGGTGAATGAGGCAATCACTGCACAGAATGAAAATTTGTGATGAGGGGGAAGCTAGAGGGATGAGTGGAAGACAGAAGGTGTTTGTGGTAGCCGTGCCCAACAGGAGAAACCAGGAAGAGGCCATGGTAAGGACTCCTTTTGTGGGCCACTGGCATCCCCTGGATTGGCCAACCAGGATGCCCACTCCTGAGTCCTCCCTCCTGGTGATGATTCTAATGCAGTGCATTATGCCCTATCTGTGGGTCTCTGAAATGGAGTTGAATTTGAATGCTTCATTTTGAGGATACGCGTATAAGCACATTTGTCCAGGGTTTCATCTGATTCTCAAAAGAGTCCAAGACCCCTAAAAGATTAGGGCCACTTGGTCTAGGTCTTGGGTTTTAAAAAAGAAAGGGAGAGCATTTCTATTATTGTTGTTTCGTGTGTTGTTTCGTGTTGTTTCGTGGTTGGACTCAGTGGGGATGTGTGTTGCTTAATGACTAAATCAACTTTTCTCCTGCTGCCCACACCCCTTCACAGCTCTCCTGCTCTGTGAAGCTGGGGCTGCCCTGTGCCCTGAGAGATGGAGCATGGCTTGGGGTCCCTCTGCATGTACGAGGCCGCTGGTGCTGCATCAACACAGCAGGGTCCCTTCAACCCTGTCTGGTATGATTGTGTTCTCCACCCTAGGCTCCGACTTGAGCTAAGTTCCTCATGGTTGTGGCAAGACTCATAAAGGGCATGGTGAGGGTCTGGCATTGGGCAGTTGGTGTCTAGCAGCTGAACAAAAGAGCTTATGCCAATGAAAAAGCCTTCCCCGTATATCGCTCCACTTGGGACCCAGAACCATTCTGGTTGGGTCCAGATACCAGCCTGTCTTCTGGCCTCCTGACCTGGGGAATTCAGCCTAAATTCAAATGCGCTGAAGAGGGGAGGGAAAGCCTCCCACTCCTATAGGGCTCCTGCTGGATATCAGTGTGAAGGAGAAAACCTTCTCAAACCTAGAAGAAGAAAAAATGGTGATGGCTTACGTCTTTGATTTCGTGCTGGAGTCTGCTGAATCAAAGCATGTCCTTGCTGCTTGCTAATCTTCCATCATCTGACACTTTCAGGAAATGGAATATGGCCGGCACAGTATATTTGATTAAGAAGTCACAGTGGCTAAAGAAGTAGACAGTTTATATCTGCTTGATGGGGTATTATGATTCCATAGCCTGTAGAGATGTTAAACCCCTAACTGTTATGGTTTTTAATGGCCTGTTGAAAGTTAAAAGAGTCTTAGCTCTAATTTAAGATTTTACTTTGCCATTTCTTTCCTATCTTTCTGTATTCTCAAATATTCTTCAAACCATCTTTTAAAAATGTTTTCTGCTGATTCTTTCACAAATGAATTAAAACAAGACTTTTGACATGGGCCCACTCTGTTTGTTCATAATTTTGCCTTTTGGCAGTAGACTTTGGGATCGTCTATCTCATTTACTTCTTATAACAACCCACTGAGAAAGGTAATTGCTATTTCTGTATTGTGTATGAGGAGATTCAGAGAGGTTAAGAACCTTGACCAAATTTACTAATCTGGCAAGTGACAGAGCTGGGATTAGATCCCCCACTGTCTCCAGGCAAGAAACCCTGGTTAAGACACAATGTTCTCTTCTAGCGGGCTTCCATCCTGTGTGCAGAGGACCCAGCCTCCCTCTGCCAGCCTTTCTGGCCTCTGTGTCCTTACTCCCTGAAGGGTCTCAGCCATCCACGAGTGAGGAGCAAGGCACAGCAGATGCCAGAGGAACTTCCTTCTTGGGCCCCCCTCCTCTGTCCAGGACTTCACCAGGCATGCCTCAGGGCCTGGGCTACTGTGGGTTTTTTTTTTTCCCTGGTGTGAGCAATCCTCCAGTCAACGATCAGAGAACAAGAATGTTGGCATTCTGATTTCCCTAAGCTTTTAGGTGTTGTCCCAGTAACAATGCCCCCTCCTTTCCAGGGTGGGGAGACTTCTTCCAGTCTTAGGAGCTGTGGAAATTCTCAAGCGAACAATTCTCTTATTTGCAAAATCACGGTCTGAGCTGGCTGCTAAGGTCAGGGCACAGGCCTTTGGCAAAAGACCTCTTTCACAGGATCTGTACCCATCTCTCTTTCAGTGGCCAGGAGCCTCCTTCCCTTCCTCCAGAATAGGCCTTGTGAGCAGCAGAAAACATGGTGCTATCCTGCAGCCAAAGCACATGTAGAGGCTCGTCATCGACCCAGCCCAGCAAAGGCTCCATCCAGGTCAGCTTGCTCAGCAGCTTGTTTGGCTGTGGCACGTTTTTTGGCAGTGCTTTCTAGAGGGAAATATCTACCCAAAATACGATGCTCTGGATTTCTTTCCTGCTTTGGTCCTAGAACCCTCCATGATCAGGTGTATCTATTAAGAACAAATCATAAATATCGCACTTAATGGAGAAACGTTGGACATATCTCTCGAATGACGGTAAGAAGAGAGGAAGCTCCTGACACACAGGGAGCAATTTCCCCCCTACCCCCCTTGAGTTCTTTTGGCTGGTCTAATGATTAAATTCACACAAGACAGATTGACAGAAGACAAAAAAAAAAAAAAAGCAAATTTAATTTGTGCGTTCAGAGGTCCCATAGAAATGGGATACAAGAAGTGACCACGGCAAGCAGCTTTTATACTTTTTAGAGAAGAACAGTGAGTTTGTAAGTATTGAGAAGACAAAGAAACTTCGACTTTGGTTGCTTGATTCATGAGTATCCTAAACAGTTTGTTCACACAGCCTTCTTGGCCCTGAATTCCCCTTCTTTGGCTATCAGGATGTCTCTCTACCTCCTGTGCACAGAAGGCATGTTTCCACAAGGGAGATATATTTCCTGCTTTCAGAGGGAGACAGAGGATCGTCAGAGTGCCCTTTTTGCACTAGCTGTTTCTCTAGTGACTTAATTCCAAATAGTCAATATGCCACTGTGGCACATCTTGGGGCAGTCTGCCCTGAGCCCCCACACATCCATTACCATTTCTATTTAACATTTGTGTTGGAGGCCCTAGCCAGTGTTATAAGACAAGAAAAATAAATGAGTAGTATTGGGAGCTCTGGAAGCATTGGATGCGTGGAATAAATGAATACCTTGCAGGGCACTCTCGTTTCTGCGTTTCATTGCCTCCTTCATTTCTCTTTCTGAATAACTGCTACTTTTGCAGATTTTTTAGGAATGTGCCCCAGCCAAGTTGGACTAGTTCTTCCCCTGAGTTTATTAATGTCTTCACTGGAAAGTATATTTACTTGCTGGTAACTCTTAGTTTTCTCCGTAGGCTGATTGGGCTTTTCCACAGCTGGCATCTGGAACACTAGGCTTGGAGCAGGACAGGTGGGACCACACTCTAGGAGACATGAGCTACTCTGAGTCCCTCCTCTGGGACAGTGTTCAGAGATTTAGAAATTCACAGCCTGAGGCAGAGACCTCAACAATCATTTCTAAAGCACTTGTCTCTTCTGTTATTTGTTCTGGGTCTCACAGAGAATTCACTTTTCTTTTTTTTTTTTTTTTTTTTTTTTTTTTTTTTTACAGTACAAGATAAATTTATTGTAAATCAAGAACCACAACTTTTTAAATGAAATTT